TCTCTATCGGAAACCATATTTGACTGTTACGCAACTATATTTACAGGCAGTGCGCCTTGTGTATCACGGGATGCTGACGTCACGGGACACCGATGCAGCTTCGAACAACTTCCTCTGCAATCTTTGCGCTGCGTTTATAGGCATCTTATGGGCATCGCTTATAGGGCATGGCATGCCGTGAATAATGGTGTGTAAACATTCCACAACCACCGACTATGTTTTTCCCCCCAAGAATCCCCCAGAATCTGGGATGTAATGATGTATCCCCCTCATTATCAACGATGATTGAGGCTTCGTTTGCATTCTGGTCGTTTTCGTGTTCCGTCACTGCTCGTTTAGATATTTTCTCCGGTCTCACAGGGACCGCGGTTTCGGCACCATCGTCAACCGTGGTGGGGCGACGCGCTGGGCGCGGGGCATCGTCCGCTCACTATTGGTCCGAATGACCCTTTCCTGGCATCATGGATCAGGGACGATCATTGCACCGACGCGATCTGTCTGGAGCGCCTGAGTGCCGCTCCGCGCATCTTACAGCAGCGACAGCGAGCGGCAGGGTCACTCGAACAACAGCGCCTTTCATCGGCGCACCGAATCGAACCGAATATGTAAATTAACGCGCGTTATAGACGCAATGTTGCACACACGCGCGCGCGCTAGACATGCAGGCCGCCCACACCACGCACGCAACGGATACGCATCCAAGCACGCATGTACATACGTGCGTACGTATGTACGCACGCACGAATAGCTTAGGGGCCTTTAGGGTCAAAATATTTTACACGGCGGACAAAAGCGCCAAACTTTTTTTGTGGTTAGTGTAGGTCATAGTGATCAAATTTTAGAAGGGTTGCCGCGCAGCGATAAAGCTTCCGGTGGCGGCATATTGGATTTTCCAAATGGCCGCCATCAAAAACGAGTGCATCTACTTTGTTTCATATCTTTGGTTCTAGTGAGATATTTTAATAATGTTGGTGTCTAAAAGGTAATGTTTATAGTCGGGAATCGATTATGGGTGACTAATGCGGTAATTTATCTGAGTAGACTAACTGACGTTTTGAAGATTTAGGGCTTAAATTTAAAAAATAAATAAAAATTGTTGCTTTATTACCACTCCCTGTCATCATGGAGTGAGAAACACACTATGGTGTTACATATGAGATCATAGTTCCTATGGATAGATTTTAGAAGGGGTACTTACATGCTGTTAGTTTACCATGGTCGCCATATTGGATTGTCCAAATGGTACCATCGGAAATTGCAAATTATAGTTAAGCTGCTGCGTATGTATTTGGGTTGTTGTATGATTGAGACCGTATAGTTGGCTTGGTTGCCGGTGTTTCCCCATCTGGCGTGAACGTGATAATACTATTATTTAGGTAGTTGACTGCCATCAAGTTGGAACTCTCCTATGTTTTTGTATAAATGAGGCAAAATAAACGAGAAAACGGACATGGTTGATCAAATGGTGTAAATATAATTATTGTAGGCATGTAATTTTTTTTTTATATCATAGTTTTGCTTGTCTTGTAGAATGGATTGGACTAAATGCGTAATATGTGGTGTCTGTGGTGAACTGAAATGCCCTGCCAAAAATTACAAGAGAATGCGCATGAGGTGCATGTATTAGACATTCGTTAATCATGTTAGTGCGATCAGTACACTATTTGGAAGTACAATAATCTTTACAAAATACAGGATTTGGAAGTCAAATATATCGAAGAGAACATGGCAAAGTGGCACAAGACATGTCATCTCAAGTTTGCTCAATCGAAACTGGACAGAGCAAAAAAGCGACAAGCAGAACATATGCAACACAATAGCGTGGCACGAGTAGGAAATCCAGAAGATCAGAAGGTAAAAAAGAAGCCTGTATATTCTGTGAGCGTACAGATGGAGTTCTCCATGAATGCTCGACGTTCCAATTTGATCAGAACTTGAAAGATATTGCAACAGCAATGCATGATACAGTTCTACTCTGCAAATTATGCAGCAGTGATGTGATAGCCCAGGAATCTAAATATCACTTGGATTGCCTCACTGCCTTCAGAAACCGCTACCGTTCGAATATACGAAGAAATTCCAGCAGAGAAACAAATGAAGAAAGGCAATTACTTGAAGCACGGTGTTTTGCAGAGCTGGTGTCACACAGCACCGAAAGTCTCGATGAGGGGCAGTACATCTTCCCACTGCAAGACCTTCACACAATGTATGAAGGCCGGAGGAGAGACTTGGGCGTAGACAGTGATGTAAATCGAACGAGGAGCTGAAGATAAGCTGCTAAGTCACTTCCAAGGCCAGTGTCAGGAGCAGTCATCTGGGCGTAGTAGAATGCTGGTGTTCACAGCCGGACTGGGTGACCAACTGAGGGAAGTAACCCAGGATCACGATACGCATGCTCTGGAAATGGTAAAGGTGGCTAAACAGATTCGGAAAGACATATTTGACAAGCCAGAAAACACATTTAATGGTTCATTTGCTGCCGATTGTCAATCTACTAGCATCCCAAGATCCTTGCTAAACATTGTATCCTTACTGCTGAATGGCACAAGTATACAATATCAGGATGCACAGGAAAGCCAAAGCTGCCTCAGTATCGCACAGCTGATATGCTTCAATGCCAAAAAGAAGACATACAGAGAAAAAAAGATTTGGACAAAAAGCTAAGTAGGACCAACAGATCCAGAGAGATGCCTTTGCCTCTTTATATAGGTATCAAGATACACACTCAGAGTAGAAATAAGAGTCTTGTTGAGCAGCTGCATTCATTGGGTCTGAGCATAAACTACAAGCGCGTACTCCAGATTGAGAACAACTTAGCACATGCAGTGACAGAAAAGTACCACACAGAGGGAATAGTCTGCCCGATGAATCTCCGAAAAAGGCTTATATCAGGGGGCTATCGACAATCTGGACCACAATCCTTCTTCTCAAACAGCCAAGGGTTCGTTCCATGGTACAGGAATCAGTATCTTTTAAGCTGTGACTGAAGCGAATCAAGGAGAGTCTCGTGGTATGATAAATTTCACTGCAGCTGCAGGTCCAATACAGTTGCCAAAAGAATATTCTGTAGTTCCAGCTGTGGCATGTTCAGTGAGTGGATTGAAAGTGCAAGAAAGAAGACCAAGTGTTGATGATGTGTTGATGATGTGTTGCATTATGAGAGACAGTGGTAGAAGATGGCATGCAGTTACTACAGGGAGATGAAGAATTATGATGACAAACATTACTCACGTGTCCGTCAGCACATCATTCTGCCCAGCAGCGGTGTGGCATAGAAACAACCCCTGGGGTAGGTGTCCTCCTTCCTCTATTCAAGAGAAAGCTGACCTTATCAATGATTAAGCATGGCCATAGAC